CAACTCTCTGTAACCCCTTGCGTGCTAGTGGCTTCCCGACTTGCTTGGGGTTGAATGCTTTAAAAAAAATTCACATTGATTTTAAATCCACTAGTTCGATATCTGTGTGGAGCGAATACGGAAATGAACAGGAAATGAACAGGAAATGAACAGTTGGCGGATTCACGCTTCCTTCCATGTAATAGATGATCATTTGAAAATAAATATTTAACAGTTTTCAACCAATGCCGACAAAAAAAATATGCTTTATGATCCTTTTGAAGAGTATTTAAGTAAAATCTCTAGACGGACAAAACCAGCAAAGAGATGGAACCGCAACATACGACAATGAATTCACGACACCACGGTTTAAAAGAGATCCTCTTACTCATTCAACTGTCTTTCTCGCCAATTTACATGACATTTACACTCTTCCTCATGCAGCTACGTGATACTTTCACTTTTCTCCTCACTTTCTCCTTTGCCTCTTTTTTCACACATATATGCGAAGAAATTACATTTCTTTTCATCTTAACAAACAACTACACACAAGGAACTTTAACACACGCACACGCTGAGAAAAACATTGTTGTAAAACACGTAAATAAAATTATTTTATATTTAAAACACCCTCTCTCATTGTTGCAGGTTGATTCAAATCCGCAACACCTGTTGTTTCGATGACGGTAAAATGATTGCATTTCAAATATAACTTGTTTGTCCATTAAAAATATTACATTCACTAGAAAATGAATTCAGTTTAAATACTGAAGGACTCATAAAAATGATTTCAACGTTCCTGCTTATACCTTTTCTTGTTACTCAAGGGTTGTTACCAGGTAGAAAAGGAAATTAGCTCTAATGACACAGAAGTCTATTTCATTTTCATTCAAACTGTGTGTCCGTTTACATGTGCGAATGTATATTTTAATTTAATAAAAGTGTAAAAATAATTCTACAATATTTAAAAAAATAATTAATTCTTTTTATAATAGAATAATTTCCGAAAAGTTAATTGTTTTAGAATTTAAAAAATTAACATTTTTATTCTTGTTTCCAACTTAATGATTTTATTGCTCAGCCGAAGGTAGAGACTGTCCAGACTGAGTAGGAAGAGAATCTATTATTCCATTTTCTTATTTGAGATTCAGTCAAACTGTTTGTAAGTGTGTACATTAAATGACACAAACACATATCAATCCAACTCGTATAACACCGGCATACGCATATACATTAAATACATGCATAGAAATTGTGTGATTTGTTTTTTTTACGGTTTATCAACCTTTTGTAAGTTATTTAAAGCCAATACATATTTTTGGATTGTAAGAATCTATTCTTTTTTTGCAACTGAATATTCTATTAACCATTTTGGGAGAAAATAATGATTTTAAGATACAAGTCCTAACATTTAACCTATAGATGTGGGGAGACTTGAATTCATATATTTCCCAAGGGTATTTGACCGTAAGTGTATGTAACGAATCCAACTGGATTTCGAACTCAGTTTTCCGATTTTTCATTTCGATCCGTTATCCACTACACCAACCGCACATCCAAGCTTACAGCACCTGGTCTTCCAGAGCGGTCACTCATCTAGGTACTGACCAGGCTCGACGTTGCTTAACTTGGTGATCGTGCCGGTGTTTCTATGTGATGTGACTGTAAGCCCCGCGCATGCAAAGTCATAGGCAGACGTTGAGTGACGGATAGAGAATAGGCTATTCATTTATAATCTAGATGTTTTTTCTAAGTGGATTTCCTGCTACTGGAGTCCGAATCCAAAATATTTCAAGTCTTACTTGTTTGTTGCAGGCTGCTTATTCTTGTTTAGCGTTTACATTTTAAAAGGGAATTTTTAAAAAGGTGGCTGCTCCTGCTTATACCGCATCGCTCTTCGGTTATGAATTGAGCGCTCTGGCTGCTGATTTGTCATTTATATACATCACGTATATAATACGTTAAAAGATTTCCTTTCTCTGCCGTGCGCTGATAGCTGAGTTTCGATTCCGGCTTGAAGCAATCGGATGTTTAACCACACTGATGAGCTTGGAACTGTCCTGAAAAGTTTTTATTAAAAAGTGTTAAAAGAATAAAATACTCTGAGATTTAAAATTCAAACCAATGACTTCATCCAGACAAGAAAACCGAATCTGGTTGACAGGAACAAAATAAAGAAAGTCTAGTAAAATGTGAATGTGTTTATGCTAGTAGACAATAAGGTGACGGCAAACGAAAGGGGAACATTTTAGAAGGGTCTGGATCTTTCCAAGGAGTTGAAGAAGTTTTGAAGCATGAAAGTCACAGTCCTGTCTGTAATAATTGGAGTACTAGGAATAGTTCCATATAGCCTAGGATAAAAGCTGGAGAAATTGGAAATCAGCCAACAACATTAATGCAAATAACTAGAATACTATGAATAGTGTTAGACACTTGAGGAGGCGTGATATCATTTAATCTCCAATGTAAGTCACCTGTTATTTCTGGCATGAAGACTAAATGATTGAATATAATAAGAAAAGCATAAAAATGGTTCAAAAATATAAAGTGTATGATAGGGCTGGAACAGTTATTTACTAGGAACTGTGCAAGCAACTTGGGGTCGACTCTACAATAAGGCAGAATCAATCATTTGATTTAGGTGAATAAAGGAAATAAACTATTTCTATTAGTTTTTTTTTTATATCTATCTATCTAATCTCTCTAACTATCTCAGTCTGTCTGTCTGTCTATCTATCATTTGGAACCGACTCCAAACGGGATGCTTTCCCGATCACTACAATCTTAACCTATTCAAGTCAAAGGTTAACCGTTATCTTCCCTACGTATCTCCATAAACTGTACCTCTTACTCTACAACCCTCTACATTGAGTGGCTATTGGACCTTGTATAGGGTGAAAATCATTGTAAAAAAATCTATCTATCTATCTGATCATATCTACCTGGAGCGTGTATTAAAATGTTCTCGATAAGACCTACTACCAAAAATACGACCAAATAACCTAACATCAGAATTGTTTTTAGAAGTCCTTGGTCGGACTGACAACTTTTCAGTATCGAATCTATCTGTTCATGACGCTATATCTTCTCTTTCTCTATATACTCTACATACATTCAACTGTTTATCTAATACGATTTGTATCTTTTTCTTTATATGCATTAATATTTATATATTTATAAGGTGTCGGATGTGCGCAGGTGAGTAGACACGTTTACATGTGTACGGGAGCATGTCTGAGCAACCATTTAATTGTCTTTCACTCCGTTACGTGTGCACCAATTTTCCTCACTGTGGAATTTGAGCGATTCCATCACAAATGCAACATTTATGTGTAGAAACCAAACAAGCCACTGAGAAGAGCTTATAAGAAATAGCTATTCACAGCAGCTTATATGACTGGCTGTGTTACTAAAAAAACACACGAGGGGGGAAAAGTCGAAGAAAGCGTGACGATGATGAACGTAGGAAAAGAAAGGATAAAGAAAAAATACAAGAAAAGAACTGAAGACAAATACAGAGAGGGAGAGAGACAGACAGACAGACAGACAGAGAAAAGATTTATTGGTTTGGGGGGGATAAAAACTTGGAAAGAAAAATTTGTCGAAAAAAAAAGAGAGAAAATGGAGAGAAAAGTACAGAAGAGAAAAACAGAAATGTGATGAAAATTAAAAAAAAAAAAAGGAAAGACGAAAAAATAAATAGGGAAAGGGGAAAAGAGAGATGAAAGAAAAAGAAATTAATTAGGTGAAGGAAAATGAATATGTGAAAAGAAAGAAAGAAAGAAAGAAAGAAAGAAAGAAAAGAATGAAAGAAAGCAGAAAAAGGACGAGAAAGGGAAATATAGAAAAAAAGAGAACGGTCAATCATAAACAAAAAGAAAAAGATTGCCATATATATATATATATATATATATATATATATATATATATATATATATATATGTACACACACATACCATACAATGGGTTGACCCAAGCCTTGTGAGTGAAATTGGGTAGATGGATCACTTGGGGCCGTCGATAGCTTTGCTAGCATGAAGTCAAAAGTCTTCGTGACTGAGGGTTTGAGTGTGCTGGTCTTGTTCCGATTGTTGATCACGATAGATAATACGCTCTCTCCCAGAAATTGTAACTAAGGTCTCCTCAGCATAGCTGCAGTATAAAAACACAAGATGGCTATGTGGGTGTTGAACAAACACAAATATGCCTGAACGAGAGTCTGCAATAGGGATTGGCTAGTCGCCCTAGTAGACGCGGGTATCCTTGAATACGAGTGAATAGCTATTATATATAAATTCACACACACACACACACACACACACACACACACATATATATATATATATATATATATATATATATATATATATATATATTCCTTCCTTCGCCCTTAACTCTGGAAGGAGTCGTTGGGCGTAGATGCAGAGGTGTCCACCATCCATTCTCCTTCATCTGTCGCGGTTGTGCTAGAGCCTTGGGTCTCCGCGAATAGTTTTTTCGTGTGCTCGTCATGTGGCGTGTCTTGGGCGTTTTAACCTGGCGGAGCCCATCCATCAACAGATTAGACCACAGCCGATGTCCTCCAACTAGGTGGTGGCTCGCCTTCTAGAGTAGAAAATATTGGAGATATAGTTTATAGATATAGACATTGGGAACATAGCAATCAAGACCACGTGGTGACTGCCAACTTCATGCTTCAATGTCGGATAAGGAGAATAGAAAAAAGAGGAAAACTAATTAATTTATTTTTATTTGCTTACGACTAAGGCAGGAGGTTATTTATGTTAATTTACCAAAAAATTGCTTATTTATGCTGGGTGGAAGACATGTGTATATTATAGTAATTTGTAGGCAGTTATCGTTTCGTGGGTATTCGAATTTACATACAAATCCGGATGTAGAGAATAAAGTGGGGATATATGGAAAGAAGGATGCGGAGAAGAGCAGGTGGGTGTTCTGTAAATTGCATTACGTTGAATTAAATAAGGCGAGCCTACTTGCCTATATTGAAAATAAACTTTCTAAATTCTTTTGAGTGTTGAGAGTTCGATAGACATAGATAGATAGATAGATATGAACAAACTATGATAGATAGATTTCAATAGACTATGATAGATAAATAGATATAAAATTTGAAATAGACAGATGTGAAATATTTTCGATAGATTTGAACAGCTTGAAATAGATAGATTGATAGATAAATAAATAGATAGATAAATAGAGATAGAGATATTAAAAATCTGAAATAGACAAAGAGATTTGAAAATTCTTAGATAGATTTAAACAGCCAAAGACAGACAGACAGACATAGATAGATAGATATGAACCGATCGAAATAGGGATGTAGAAAAATTTGTTCAACCTTAGATAAATTTAAATCAACACACACACACACACACACACACACACACACACACACACACACACACACACACACACACACACACACACACACACACACACACATATATATATATATTATATTGATAAATAGATAGGTAGATTTGCACAGCCATAGACAGATATATATGAACGGCGATAGATAGATAAATAGTTAGATAAATAGATAGATATATTGATATGAACAGCCAGAGATAGATAGATAGATAGATAGATAGATAGGCAGACAGTTCGATCGATCGATCGTTAGATAGATATGAACTGCCTGAGATAGATAGATAGATAGATAGATAGATATGAACAGCCTGAGATAAATTTACAGCCCGATAAATATAAGTAGTAAGATCAATCCGAATGATTGGAATACATTCTATCAAGTATCTGAAAGTCGAGTGAAAGCAGCTTCAAAACTGTAGACGTTAGAAAATGTAGTCTTCAAAACCAAAGGAATATTTTCATTCGATGCTTTAGCCTGCGATATTTTTACCATTATGGCAGGACAGATTTATTTTTACTCTTGCTCTGGGATATATGTATCTATGTTGTTAAGATAAAAGCATTGTACGTTGTACTTCCTCTATTTACGAACAATACAGCTGAATGAATCTATTTAAATATTCTAATCATTTCATATCTACATTAAGCCTTGGATACCTCATTGTAAAGCAATGATCAATAAAGTTAATCTTACAAACAATTACCAGTGTAAGGAGTTCGATCTCTATTGGATGCCCTACATTGTGAATTTTTATAATGGTAAACTAAGATTACTAATCATCAGTGTTTGTGGTAGGAAGAATGTTTTCCGCCAGTTTTCCAATCAACAAAACAAGAGATTGGACGTAGTAAAACGCCTATTGCAAATTTCTTAAAAAAAAACTAATGAATACGGAAAGAGAATTTCATGTGGGCGTCTCAATAAAATTTCATCGGCGTTGAGCAGGAGGATTCGACAGGTTGTCTGTTAAGACCCAAGCCGATCATCGAACGAGATTGAGACCCTTACGGATGCAAAATGCAGCTCAAGAACAAGAAGACAGCGTCTCCGAGAGAAAGGCTTTAAAATCTGTAAGTGTCTTTAAAGCCCACGCATTCTTCCACACCACAAAACATCTCGGTTAAACTTTGCTGAGAAGAGGGACATGGGACATAGAAAAGAGGAACGTTTTTTTTTCTCTGATGAGAAAAAAAATAACCTGGATGGTTATTGCCACGATAAAGATATTCCACCAGAGATATTTTCTACACGTCGCAGTGAAGGAGATTTCATTATGATCAAGGGTGCTATTCCCTTCCAAGGAACAATGTAACCGCAACGTTATATAGGGGTGTCAAACAGCGGTTGGTTACATTGACATGGAGAGAGCATCCTTATTGACTGAAGGTCTTCGCTTGTGTGGAAATGACTGAATTTTACAGAAGGACAACACTGCAACCTATAATGCATGCAGGACACAGGACTTTTCTTTTATGGCGAATAACGCGATTCATTTGAAGTATCGAAGCGTTTTTGCTCGACCTGAACTCCATTGACAATGTTTGGGGTTAGATGACAAGGGAAGTATATAGAAATAGATCAATTACAAACGGTGCGTGATCTTCGTGAAGACATCTTCACCACTAAATGGTTGAGTCTAACAATAAAAAATGCCAAGCAGTACAGCATGCCGTTTCGAAATTTCTCGTGGAGTGAATTGCATCATGGTGCTCTTTTTTCTCTCACAGAAGGTGCACTACTTACCTTACTATAATGTACAATAGACAAAATCAAAACAAACAACGTACACGTGCCTAATTAAAAATCTAAAACTGCGATAACTTACCTTCGCACCATATATATATATATATATATATATATATATATATATATATATATATATATATATATATATAATAATAATAAAAGAAAGCACTAATATTCCATGGTCATGATTTATTCCATTGGAATCATGATTCAATTCATCAGACCTACAAATTTGTAGGTCTGATGAATTGATCGTATTTATGATTCCAATGGAATAAATTATGACCATGGAATATTAGTGTTTAAGCCTTTTATTATATCCTTACTCTGTCCTGGACATTGAGTTCTACCTGGATTCTATCCTCTTGAAATTTCTTTAGACAAATATATATGTATGTGTATGTATGTATGTATATATATTTATATATCTTGCATATGTATGTGTATATTTACCACTAATACTATCTATCTATCTATCTATCTATCTATCTATCTATCTATCTATATATATATATATATATATATATATATAAAATAGTTATACTCGTTTGGAAACACCTTCGGTATTTTGGCTTGTAATTGCACAAACCAATGGCCAAGAAAAATAAGGGATAAAAAGAGAAAGAAACTAAGATCATGAAATTAAGGCGAAAATAAGCGTCCAGAATCACAGCTCAGAGTCTAAAAAAAACAAAAAAAAAAAATACACACCTCCAAACCGAGTAAAGCAAAAGTAGAGCAAACCTAACTATGAACATAAAGAGCCAGGTAAACTTACCTAGGTTTCACCTACACGGATCGTCAGGGCAAGCCAGCTTACCCTGACGAGCCGTGTAGGTGAAACCTAGGGAGGTTTACCTGGCTTTTAGGTTCATAGTTATATATATATATATATATATATATATATATATATGCCAAGTGAATTTGTATATTGTGTTTGCAATATATGTAACTGTTAATGTAAATAGTGGAAGGTTTATATCTATATTTATTTGTTCGACTATACTGACAAAGCTTAGAGGTGATAAAACGACTGTGAAAGAGCAAAATACAATTATAATAATTGAAAAAATATATTTAAAGTCGGTACGTCCAAAAGGTTTCTTAAAAAAAGAGCCTACCACGGTGAAAAAAGGCTCCAAACTTGATAAAAACAAAGTTGTATCGTCTAAATGTTTGTTATTATTAAGAGGAAAGACCAAAGGATTTTTTTGAATATTTTATTAAAGTTTTTAATAATTTCAAGCACGTTCGAAATTTTGGTTAAAAATCTTATTTTTCTTGCATAACGGGTGGACCAAAGATTAGTAAGGGGACTTTTAGTGTCTTTTTTGGTGTTAAAACACATTTTTTGGGGGAAATTCTTGTAAATATTAAATAATTGTTGGATTTTAATGAAATTTTCAGGACTTATTCAAAAATGAATTAAATTATTCGTGAGTTTTATTTTCTAGAAAATCTTGGTAATTTTTTTTTCATCTATTTTATAGACAAAGTCTCATTAGAACAACATTAGATCTTTCATCAGATTGTCAAACACATCAACACAGCTACTGTCCGGTTAAAAAAAAAGCAACTAGTATTTAAACTTAAAGTCAATAATATTTGTTTCAAATCAGATTAATTATACTTTAAATCAGTTAATATTCCTCAAAGTTTAAGAAAAATGTATTTTATTTGTGAAAGATTTTTAATAAAAAGAATTATATTGCGATGAAAGAAGGCGCTAATCAGCTATTTTAGCAAAAAAATAAAAATATTTCCAGTCGATTTAAATTTGTTCTTTGGAATACAGCAAAGTATTTTGCTCACTCGAAATAAAAACTTAATCTATTGACTTGAAATTAAAACTGAAATAAAAGCTTCAAGAAAGATTTTTTCTTTAAAAAAATCATTTTAAACCTTAGGTAGCCCGTTTTTTTTTTGTTTTTTTTTTTTTTTTTGTGGGGGTCCTTAATTTAAACTTTCATCCTGGTGGAGGCCTAACCCAAGCTCGTAAAAATGACGGGTCATTTTTGTCATGTTTGCTCGCAGTCTGTTGCAATGGAAAACAGCAATTGATGAACGATGATGATGATGATAATAATAATAATGATGATGATGAAGAATTATAAAAACTGCTTAGCGATTTTTCAAAATGGATGTGTTTCATTAACGCTTCCTATATCTATTATTTTAATGTTTTCTTAGAAAGGATGCTTCAGTGTGCCGACAATTAGAAATCATTTAATTCATTTTGTTTATTAAATTATTCATTGTGGTATATAATAAAAAAAAAAGACGATAAAGAGAAACAGAAATTACAATTTATGCATGAAGGAAAAGATACAATTATAAAATTTAATAATGTGAATATTTGGTTTGCCATCGTCTGGTTTAGGAAAATAAAAAAAAACGTATATACGTTCATGCGGTTTGATATCAAAGATTTCTACCCGTCCACCACAAAAACTCTTCTTATGAACGCTGTGAAATTAAGTAGAAATTACTGACAAGTTAATGAGAAAGAAATCGAAATAATTAAACAGACTCTGAATCCGATTCTTTACAATAATGGATACATGTAGACTAATAGACAAAATCAAAACTCAGACATTGTTACGGGGCTTCCGAAATAGTAGGTGTATTTTTAATGTTTGGATATTTATTTGATAAATTTTTAAAATGTAACTTTGGACTGAAATTCCGTTGAATAAAAATCATATACAAGATGCAATGGGTAAATTGTCGAAATTTTATATTTTTAATTTCGCCCATGCCCGTTGTTAGTTTTGATTTTGACAACTGCACAGTATAGTAGGGTCAGTTGGGCACCGTCTGTCAGTAAAAAAAACATGACGCAATTTACTCCGCCAGAAATTTGGAAACGGCATGATGTACTTCTTAGCAATTGCGTTGGGAGCTCCAAAACGAACATTTAAGAGTGTTTGGGTGTCAATCTGAGGACAGTGCAGAGGATTCGGAAAGAGTTGCATGAGTTTAATGGTGATTACGAAGATACGGCAGCTCGGAAAACTCACTCAGATCGTTCTGATAAGAAAAGAACTCCCGAATTTGTTGGTGATGGCATCAGACTCAACACAGAGGACTACATCAAATGCCTTAAAGTAGTGCTGCTCTGGGTCAAGAGGGTAGCTGCTGGAAGACCCTATGTCTATTAACAGGACTCATAACCATTCCACACAACCAGAAGAACTCAATCAAGACTCTCAGATGATTTCTTACATCTGGCCACCTAACTACCCAGACTGCAATACCCTTGATGTATGGGGCACAGTTGAGCGAGAGACCAACAAAACGTTCTTGTAATACCAAAGATGAACTGAAGGCAAGGATTATGACAGTATTGACCAACTTAAAAAGGAGACCGCACAGAAGAGCTGCAAGAGATTCGTATTGAATCTAATGGCGATAAATAAATTTACTCTTTAATATTTCAAGATATTTTTGTGTAATTTTTGTAAATATATCTGTTAAAATGAGATGTCAGTGTTATTTTCATTTTTGCATAATTTAAACGACAGTTTATCCGTCGCACCCTGTATAAACGAAGTAGGTATT